GCCCCCTTTCTTTTTCTTTTTTTTTTTTTAAGCCTAAACACATTGTAAAACACACTGGAACCTGTTTAGAGTTTTCTTTTCTTTTCTTTTCTTTTTTTTTGTCTGGACCTCTTTTACTGCGTCTTTTAGCCTCTTTTGACTGTCCTAGAAAACTTTAGACTGTTAAGCTACACCTGGATGGTCCCTGTGCTCTAGCAGCTGACTCCGCCCACTCAGGTCAGGTTGTGAAAGCCGAGCCCAAAGCTTACAGCCAGGAACTGCATTTAACCTTTTTTATTTTTTCTTTCTTTCTTTTTAAATGCAGACCAGGCTGGCCTTACAGAGTCACAGAGATGTGCCTGCCTCTTCTCCAGAGTACTGGGGTTAAAGGCATATGCCACCACTGCCAGGCGGCCAGAACTTCTGAAAGATTGCTTAGTGAATGAACAAATGTCACGACTTAGCCCCTGGGCCCCAGGATGAAAGGAGAGAACCGATTTCTGCGAGTTGCCCTAACCAGCACATACTCTGCCCCCTCCCCCACCCTGAACATCCCGTCTTAAATATATGTCTAAGAAAATTTATTTTGGTGTCTGTCTGGTTGTTGCCTTTTTCTCTGTGTGGTCCCAGCCACCCCAGAGCATGTCCTCCCTGGAAGGGTCTTTCCCTCACGTCCTTCTAGGCTCTGGCTCACCAGGCTGCCTGCTCTACTGTCCAGCTGAGGACTTGGCCCAACTGCCTCTCAAAGATACCTTGAGCTGCCCCGAGGGCCAACCAATTCTCTCTTATCAGTCACGGGGAAAAGGAAAGATTCAGAAGGTGGGTCAGCTTGTCAGGCAAGGGACAAAGATACCATCTCCCACAGAGTCATACTCTGGTGACATTTGCCCTGCTCCATATTGTTCCAGTGGAGGGCCAAAGGTACAGAAAAGGTTTCTGTGAAGCCGCCACGAGTCCCACCTAAGTCCCCTGTGACCTCTTGCTTGGGGGTCAAAGATGGCTCCACTGCCAAAGTCTGCGGACTTCTGTGAGCCACCCATAAGGAGAGAAGCAGACTGAGGATATAGCTCAGCGCCTTCCCCACTACTGCCTGTCCTCCAGATTTAAAACGAACCCTGGTAAATTGAGGGACATGTGACGACCTGGGCTATCCTCAGCGCCAAGAGTGCACAAGCAGGCGCGCGCAAAGATAACTAGCTTCTA